CCGCGGCCCGGGCCCGGCGACGCGGCGCGGTCGAGCGCGGGAGTCTTACTTTTGGCTAGCTTCCTCGCCCTCGCCTTGGATCGCATGGTGTCGGCTCGCGGAATCTCTCTCCTCCTCCTTGAGCCCAGAAGCAGCTACACACTATCTTCATCTCCCTAGCATTGTCAGTTTGGACACCTTCGCACATGCGCACAGAGCACTCAATCTGACACCCCTCGCCGGGGCCAAAAAAACTTTGCAATGTGTTCATCATCCTCTTCGTCGCGCCGCCGCCGCTGCCGCCTCGGCGCGGGATTGGGGGGCTCTCCGATGCCTTCTCGGTCTTCACCTCACTTCTCTCTCTCCCCCCTCCCCCCCCCTTTTCAGCACAGCTCGGAACTGGCCCTTTAAGAAAACATTCTGTGCTCGTCGCTCCCGCCCGGGGCCCGCACCCTGGACACTTTAAAAGGACCCAGGTAGCCCTGGAGGCGAGGTGATCGTTCCCCCGCCCTGTCCCGCGCAGCGCTGCGGCTCCTGCCCAAAGCCGGGCGGAGAAGGAGACTGGCCGCTGCGGTTTTCTGTGCGACTTCTTTGGATTTCCCCACAAACGCGCTGATAGTTCGGACGCGGGTTCGGGCTGGTTTTGCTGCGTTTTATTGCGTTTTATTACTAATTAAAAAGCTTTCGTTCGCCGTCGCCCCAGAGCGCTCTCCTCCCGAACTCCCCTCGGTCCCCGCCCGCACCCCGAGCTCGCGGAGGGGGTGTCGGGGCCAACGCGCCAGAACCCGGCTCCTCCGAAGCCCCCGCCGGCCGCCGCCCCCCGCGGGCCTCCCGCCCCCGCCCCTCCCCCTCACCCCCACCCCATGGCTGCAGCTTCGGGCTCCGCGGCTCAAAAACAAACAGCCGAGGCGCCGCCAGCTCCGTGCTCTGCCACCGCCCGGGACGCCGAGCGGCGCTGGACCCGTCGGTCCTCGGTCGGGCGCGGTGGCTGAGGGCAGCGCGCCCCGCGTCGGGGGGCGGCCGTACCAAGGCCAGACGTCTTGCCCCGGGGTGTCCCGCACCTCTGCGCCTCCGGGGTGGGCCCATGCGCTCCGGTCTCCGCGCCCCGTTGGGCTGCGGCTGCGGCCCCCAGGTGAGTACCGAGTGCGGAAGCGCCGGAGCTAGGCCACTTTCGGGAGCCGGGGTCCTTTCCGGACACATCCCTTAGGCTTCTCCCGGCCCAGGTGCGATTTGGGCTGGAGAACCCAAGGCACAGGTGGAGGAGTGCGGGCTGGAAAAGATCTGGCGCTTCTGTCCCCGCAGCCTCCAGACTCGGAGCTCAAGCCGGCGAGGGGCCTGGCCGGGCAAGAGCAGGGTGGCCCCAACTAAGAGGCCTAATGGGGTGAGTGTGGATTCCTCCTGAGAGTATGGCTACAATTTGAGTTTGAATTGGAAACAAACGGAGGCGCTGCTGGGGCTGGGTCACTGCCCTGGGCGCCCTTCCCGAATACCAAGGTCCCTCTAGGCAACAAGATTCAGATCTGTCACGGTGTCACCTGAGCCTTAGCAGGGGTAGGCGCCATTTGGGTCTTTCGCCTCCCAGGTGGGGCTTCTCGCCATCCTCACCCACTCTTTGTTGTGCAGTAAAACCAGTCTTCTAGTCCTGAAATCTGCACGCCGAACCCCAACCCCGGTAAAACGGCAGTCCCCAGAGAGTCCTTCCTATAGACCCCCTCATCCAATGGAGAGTGCTGCTGGGCCCAAAGTACCCAGAAAAAAAGCCCCAGGGCAGCGGCAGCAGTGTGCCAAGCCTTCAACCCGAGGAGTCCCTTCCCTGCCGAGATTCAAACGTCTCTGAGGAACCCACAGCTCTGGGTGCCTAGCCCTGCACCCAGCTGGCTGCGCAGATGGAGGCCCTGTTGTGGAAGGACCTCACTCTTCTCCCTTTCTCGGTCTTTCTACCTGGGCTCAGTCACAGATCCGCTGGCTCGCTCGGTGCACAGAACTGGGCTCTGGAGGTCTCGGTGAGGGGCTTCCATTGCAGACTACGGTAGTGCTGCCTCTCCGGTGGGCCTCGGAGGGCCCTGTATCTGCTCAACCCCACGGCGTGGTATGACAGAAGGAGCCCGAGTGTCCTCTGACCTGTGGGCTTAGCCTGACTGGAGTTGCACATCACAGAGTTCTCAAGGTCACCTCAGGTGTCCCTTGTTCACCTGTAACCTCAAAGGATATTTGGAGAACACCTGAAAGATGCAAAGATGCTAATGAAGAGCTCTCTGCCACCGAGGGGCCCTGCCCTCCCCCTACCCTAGTCCAGCCCTGGCTTCTTTTTCTCTAGTCTTGGAGGCTGCCATAGCAGCCTCCACACCACCCCCAGGCAGAAGGGCCTGGCTTCTAGAGCGTTCTAGAGTCTGATGGGGCCCTCCTCTGATCCCCATCTCTGCTCTGGAGGATGCAGAATTCTGGCCAGATTGGACCAGATCAGCCTAGGATGGGAGCCAGGAGCTGACCCTTGGCCGGTGGAGGTGTGAGGAACTGGCAGTAGCAGGCCTTTCAGGCTCTTGGCCACCACCCTCTGAGCTGGGGAGATGGCCTGCCGGGGAGGAAGCCTAGGAACCAAGGCTGACTCCCTCCTGACCAAGGAAACCCCCAGGTGCTGCAATGGCCGTTCAGTTCAGGACCTCCAGGTCTTGAAAGGCCACTGCACTGGCCCTGGCCAGGCCCTGCCCCCGCGTGGCCAGACTTAAAAGCTGAGAGGTCAGACATGGAGGAATTTCTCAGCGAGAGTGGAAAAGCAAGGAAAAATCGGACACAGGCCCCCTTGGAGGCAGTTCTGTGCCTCCATCCCACTAAGAAATTTTTTAGCAGGGATGGGGGTCAGCACTTAGAGGAACAAATTAGGCGAGTGGATCCTGGGGAGGAAATGGTCATTACTAAATGTTTTCAGAACCACTTTTTAACTGAGTCAAGCTCTGGGGAATTTGGCGACAGTGGACTCTGTAGTGAGAAGTGCTGCCCACTTCACTCCTGGGAAGTCTTGGTTGAGAGCATCCCACAGGACCCAGAGACCCACTTTGGAACTTAGGAATTGGTATTAGTCCTGCCAGGTCCCTCCAGCTATGTGGGGTTGGCCACATAGCTCCCTGTGCTGGACAAATGCTAATATGGCCAAGTTCAGGAACCAGCTTAGTGGCTGGTGGGGGAGGGGTATGCTGGAGAAGAGACTCCCACCAGTTTCTACTTTGCTCCATCCCTTATAGCCAGCTGAGGAGGGCTGCAGAACCAGAACAGATCACTTCTGGGGACTGGAGAAGGACCAGAAGAGGGTCCTCGGTCACTTAGGGAGCTCTGATTCCCTAAGTTCCTGCCTACTCCTGTGTCTACAAGGTCCCTTGGCTTAGCCAGGCCTCCTAAAGGAAACCAGCTTCTGGAGAAGTACAGTGGTCACCTTTATCCCTCTCAGACCCCCCCAGGGGGCAGAGATTCACTGCAGACCCTTGTGCCTCCTTGCTAGATGTGCTTACCCCCACAGTGTCCTGTTATCACCCGCCCCTTTTTTCCCTCTATACTCATGAAACTCTTCCATGCGCTCCAGAATTCAGCCTCCACGTGCTCAGTCCAGACAACCTCTGCTACCCGTTGTGGAGCCTGTACGGTAGCAAAGAAATAAAAACGCCAAAAACACCGCTCCTTACAGTTGCCACGTGTGCTTCCTGGGAGAGCTGGAGGTGTCGCTGGGGGGATCTCAATCACATCACTAGTCCTCACTCTTCCCTGGCACTCTGGGCCACCAAGCAAGGATGGATGAGGGTCTCTTCACCATGGAGGTGTGTTTCCATGTCTTTTTTGGAGTTGGTGGTTGGTTACTACAGCATAGATGGAAAAATAGAGCAGAGACTTGGGCACTGGGATGTGGGAGTTGGGAGTCAAGTCACCTTCCTGCCCGAGGCAAGAAGGAGCTTCCCTGCAGATTGGTTCTGGCTTGGGATGGGGGTTACAAAATACCTAAGGAACTGTCCCCACCCAAGCCTGTAAAGTGGCCCCAAATGAGTGACTCCCCAGCACCTGGCCTCCATCCTACGTGCTCTACCCTGGAGCTGTTTTCAGACACACACACCCCCTTACCCATCTGTCCTCCTAGCTCCAGGGATCCTCGATGTGACCTGGATGACCTCAAGAACACGAGGACAATGGTCAGAATTTCTGTCCAAGGGGTTCTCTATGAAGATTTGGGACCTGGCAGGACTAATACCAATTCCTAAGTTCCAAAGTGGGTCTCTGGGTCCTGTGGGATGCTCTCAACCAAGACTTCCCAGGAATATAACCTTGTAACCGATGTTGAACAAACCTCGGATGTTCAGAAGAGACTTCTTTGGATCACCAGGCGACTTTTGTCCTTTCTTCATTGGCAATGTCCTGGAGGCCTGCACAGGCATCCTTGTCAGGGTGCTGCAGCTGCCTGGGGACTCCAGCAAAATTTTTCTGTCAGACTTCGGGTCCTGAGTCCTTGCTGGGGTGATGTATAGGAGACAATTTGCCATTTGCCTGCATACTTGGCAGTGAGGACATGGTGGGGGGATTGTTTTGTTTTGTCCTAAAGCGCTGAGATCGGGACTGAATTCCCTCATCCTCTCCGTTTGAGTCCAGGAGGGAGTTAGCTTTTATATCTTTCGAAAACGCTCTCCAGAAGGCGGTGGAAGCCCCCCGGAGGATTCCTTCCACCAGGAGAGCACCATGTGCCGGATCAAGTGTGGTGAAGCCGGGGCTTTTACAACTGTGTTGGGGCTGTGGCCACCGGGAGCAATAAACGGAATCGGTTTCTCACGCTTTCCCTCTCGATCCCCAAACCTTCGAAAATCCACTAACGAATCTGGATCTGCGGCTTGTGCTGCTTGTGTCCTTGAGGCATGTGCTTATCCCCAACCTCGCAGCAGCGCAGCTAGTAGGTCCCTTCCCTCCGCCCTTGTTCAGCAGCAGCAACTTCGTTGCAGGTAACGTCCAGGAGCCGAGGAATGAGCTGAGCCTAGCTAGTGTGGCCAATTGGCACCCGCGTGGCTCCCAAGCGCTGCCACCCTAGGATGCTCCCGCTTCTAGCGAGTGTGAGCAGGGAGGATGGGGCAGCAACGAAAACAAGCTGCGAGTCTCTCCAGCCGGGCGGCAGAGGCTCAGGAGCCAGCCGCAGCGGAGTAGGAGCCTGCCTTCCCTGCCCAGGGACATCCAGAGCTGGGTAGAGCAAAGCAACCCAGTCTACGCGGCTCATCTTGAATCCGAAACTACATTTCGTTTTGCAAAATCTCCTACTGCTTACTGATTCAATAGCAAACTGGCACATACTGCTGACACTCAGTTTGGAAACCCAATTTTGTGTTTGAACTTGTGTGGCGCTGCATCCCACAGCTGCAATTGTTGGGTGGGAGCTGCGAGGTATTTCTACTCCTCTGGTTACCTTTCTGTGACTTGGGGCCACTTCTCTTCGAAGTTCTTGTGTGACTGGCAGGCAAGAACGGTTAGTTGCAGAGCCTGGCTGAAGGCTAGCAGGAGGCACAGTGCAGCCCACCCTCCTAAGCCACGGTTTTAGGCCAACAGAAAGAGTGTTCAGAGAGGAATTTTCTCTGTGGCTCTGGGTCTACCTGGACATCCCTGTGCACTCTCCTGGCTCCCTCCCTTCTGTTGGGTGGAGGACTTGAGAGTGTCCCCTCTTGGTCCAGAAAAGATTTGTTCTGTTATTGTCCTTGTCTGGGATAGAGTTGCCAGAAAAATTAACAACAATGCCTCCCCATTCAGGACTCAAAATCCTAAAGAGGGTGAGTGGGGTTGTAGGGGCTGCCGGGAGGGCAACAGCCTACCGATGCTCCAGCTCCAACAGCTTCAGGGAAACACCGGCCCTCCCCATATACACCCCAGCTCCCATTGGCTGCCTTGGCCTGGCATGTGTGGTGGGTACTGGAGAGGGACTGAGCCCAGACTTAGACTTCTACAGAACTCCCTCTGGGGGAGGGTGCAAGTCCTGGCCAGCAAGAGAAGAGGATTCCCTGAGTAGTAACACTTCCCATCTTTCCTTCCATCCCCAAGACCGCTGATCCAGAAACTGAGAGCAGGAGGAAAGGGGACTTCGATGTCTCCCTCCTCCTCCTCCTCCTGCTTTCTACTAAACCAATAACAGCAGAACAGTGGCTGTGGAGACATGCTTTGTGAGCCGGCAAGAAAAGGGCAGAGACCAGTATGGCCTGAGGCTGGGAAAAAATTACCAGTTCTGCAGAGTCACTAAAGGTGATGGAATCAGTGGCCCATGTCCTCCAGGGACAAGGTGCCTGCTCCCCTCCTGTGCCCAAGCCCCAAGTGGAAAAGCCCAGCAGCAGTGAATCCCGCGGGCTTTACCTGGTTTCCTGACCTTGGCTCACTGGCATCCTGCTTTCATCCCTCCTGACTGCCAGAGCCTGGCTTGTTAGCCTGGCACTGAGGATCCTTAAGAAAGGAAGGTAACCTGGGGCAGAAGACACACCTGTATTATTAGGCATGGTGTATCTGAAGCCCCACCTCAATGAGGATTTGCCGTGTGTGGAACCTAGGGACTGGGGTGAAAATGCCTGGGCCTAGCGTGAGCATACCCTCATTCACGGAGGAGATGGCTTTCATAATTGTAACAGATGTACGTCCCGTATCAGTGGGGGTGGGGATGGTGTCTACTGAGGAGGGCTGGGGTGGGTCCTGCCCTCGTTGAAGAAACTATCCTCTAGGCCAGCACAAAGCCATTTTCATTAAAGCAGCTTGACTTCTTGCAAGAGACCCACCTGGCTTTGTGGACAGGTGAGAGTGAGGAGGGCCATGCACCTGCATCATCAGAGATTCTGGCACTCCTACCTTTTGTATGTAATTCTACCCTATTTGCAGGTGATCTCAGAGAACTGAAGTATAAAGACTGGGGGACAAACTGAAAAGGGGTGAGCAATTCTGTCTGTACAGTCATGGGGAAGTCATCCATTCTGGAGTGAGAATTTTTGGTGGTGCAGCTGCTTTGGGGGGTCACTCCTGTAAGTAACCCCTCACCTATGCTCTCTTGGTTCCCCACATTGGACTTCAATGGGATTCAATGTCAGTTTGGAGTCCTATAAGGAAGGAGCACATGTTTATGTCTCCATAGGAAACGTTTCTTAGACACCTTCCAAGCACACCATGCAGAGCTAAGATTATGGTAGCAAGAAGACAATTGTTTGTTTGTGTGTGTGTGTGTGTGTGTGTGTGTGTGTGTGTGTGTGTGTGTGTGTGTGTTGGGGGGGAGGTTGACAGGAGGACCAGTCAGATCACACTTCTTTGGGACCCTCCATCAGCTCCTCAGCTTTCCAGAGCTGCTGTTCCCTGGCAACCTGGGGTGAGTGCACCTGGAAGTACCCGGGCAATAGCCTTCCAGGGAGGGTTGCACTTCCCAAGAGCTCCCTTCAGTTCTGTGGATCAAAGACAGCTGAGGTAAGGGCCCCTTTCCCTCCTGCTGCTATTTCAATTCCTAAGGAACCCAGGGTTTATCCTGGGGCTTCTGAGCTGACGCTCTGGAAAGCACCTGCCCCTTGGCTGGACAAAGAGAGGTCAGTTGGAGCCCTGTGTGAGGACACACAGTCCCAGCAGTTGGCAGTTGATCATTCACTGTGGACTTCTTATGTGTTTCACACCCACACCCTGCAGCTCCAGGCTTGCCTGGAACAGGACAGACTCAGCCACTTGAGCTCTGTGTTTCCTGAGTCCAGAATTCCATGGGCAATCTGGAGCCCCCTTCCCGACATCCCATCTCAGGGCTGGGGTGTGGCCGCCTGGGGTTGAGGGGAGGCCTCATGCTTGAGCCAATAGCTTTGGAGGGCTCCTCAGAGGACTAACACACTGAGGTCATGTTCTGACACACCAGCATACTCTGTATTTGAGCTTCTAGTAAGGCATTTTTAATTATAAAATGTGCAACGAAGAAGAAGAAAAAACAGTGTCCATTAAGTGTTCACAAAGCTTGGACCATGACGCCTGGACCACATGGGATACAGTGGTTCTAGTGAACATGAATAAGCCAGTTTTCACATTAGAGAAATAACAGTTCTTGTAGAAATGTAGCACTTTTAAAAGAGGTTAATTAATAAACAGCAGGTAATTGTTCGTGGCACGATGTGGCAGAGGGTAATTTTCATTTTTGAGGATGGAAGGGCCAGATGCCCCTCCCCACTCAGCATTTCTCTATAATAATCACCTTGGCTTCCTTCCGCCTTTAATTTTTACAGCTGGAGCTGTTTATCATCGCTCCAACTTTCACTAAAGAGGCAAAACTATCACTTAAACAAAGCTATTGAAAACTCAGCATCATATGTGGGTTTCTTAACATAAATAAATCATACAAACCAAGATTTATGTTCAAGGAATGATGTCATTCATTGAAGGCTGCCTCCCAATCAGATCAGCATTTCTGCATGTGCATGTGTCTGTGTGATCTGTGTCTGTGAGTCTGTCTGCACTCTCGCTTTTTGCAAGAAAGAATAACCACCTTTCTCTAGCATCGTGGATGCTCTTCTGTTTGTCTGAGGTCATCAAAATGTTCTTGCCTGTGTCAGCCCAGCAGAGCCAGGTATAGGTGTCAAGAATATTGAAGAAGAAGAAAGCTAGGCTTCTCCTGAGATCTCAGTCAACCGTTAGCTGTTGTTCAAGGTCCCTCAG